TGAAGATTTTCTTTGCATTTCTAAGTGAACTTCTAGGTTTAAACAAAGGAATTTTTCATTCGTGATTATTATTAGACTGGTGATACAAGCATGAATTTGATAAGGAAAAACCCTTAGGTTTCTTTTTCCTTCAATATAATTTATAAAATATATTTATGATTTCCACTTATATTTAACCATTAAAATTACTTAATTTACAAGAAACCAATTCTTCGCAATTCTACTAATTAAGAAAGGTGGATTTTATGAAGGTTTAAAAATCACGTTATCCCGCCAATCATGTTTGGTAGTTGATGAGTGAAACGTCTCGAATTTGAATCATTTCGACCAATGTGATGAGTCCAAGGGAGAGCTAACCTTGTTGTATGTTATCTCTATTCTCTACTGCCATCAACCCTTAAATCTTTTTTTTTTTTTCTCTACCTTAATTTTTTTGTGATCCATTAACAAATATTCTTACCCTTGGTCACAATGCATTCGCATTTGTCTGCCTCTATTTTTTAAGTTTATTTTGTGTGTTTATATTTTTTTTTTTGTTACTCTAAGATTTGGTGACCTCTTGAAACAAATTATTTATATAAATTTTTAGAACAAGACTTGTCTATACTTGGTATATGAGACTATCCATACCCCAAGCCAATTTACGAGGGGTTTTTTAAAAAAATTATTATAGTTCTATTTTACTTTTTTCCATATAAATGGTCAAAAATACTCACGTTTGAATTAAATGTTGTTTTTGATTAATCTGATGTATAATGGGTGAGCATATATACTAAGAGGAAGTAATCAGTAAGTACTTCCCATGTTTTCCAATCTATCATTATTGGTAGATCTTGAATGTATTTGTACACATTTAGTAGCATTGTAAGTAATTTAAATGCACTGTGTTTTCTCTTATTCTATAAAAGCATTTCTATATGTTGAGAAGTTTTTCATGTGTGCATAATAAATTTTATGATATTGATTTGTTTAGATTGAGTTTATGGGTGCTGCTACCGTCGCAATGGTGACACATGAATAACACGATCAAAATATTTAAACTACTTTTTATTGAAAACGATGTATTTCTAGAAAAAAAGATAAAATAGGAATAATTTTAAAAAATTTATATTTTGATTGATTTAACCCATGGGTGTGTCCATATGCCGAACTTAAACAAGTCTAATCTGTATTTTATTGTCTTTGCTGAATATTCAATATATAAATATACCTTTTTGAACCAAGAACCAGAACTAGAATTAAGAAACAAATCGAAAATTTAAGAACCAAAATCGAAACCATATATAACTGTCGATTCTGAGTCAGAATCTTGAAAAACATGGAACCAATTCCTCTCAAAAATCGAATTTGAAATAAACTCAAACCACATAACCCTATTTGGCAGTTTTATCGTCTTTGCAGGTATTAGCCATAGTAATTTCCGCAAAATTCAGAATTGTTAAGAGTTTCTTCTGTCATCCAAATTGGAAAAGAGCTACTTATTACATGAAATATCAATTTCTACAGTTAAAACCATCTCTGAATAAAAGTTTTTAATTATTTTTGTTTGTTTTTTTTTTTTTTTTTCTGAGAAAGATTTCTCTTATGTTACTTATTAATTACTTGCGTGTTATCCAAAAAATATGAAACAGTAATATCAATAATTAATGGCTTCAAAGCTTAAGAACTTACTACATTTCTAGAAAGGTTATGTATTAACTGAAGGAAATAAATACTCCTTCTGTCCCAAAATATAAATCGTTTAAGATTCTTACACAAGAATTAAAGAAGCAATTCATTCTCCTAGATTATAATAAACGTAAAGGAAATTTGACCAAATTATCATTTATGGCAAAACCAATAGTTGCTTGTGAGGTATTTATTGTATTTAGTGTAAATAATGTTTAACATTTGAAAAACATCGTTTATTACTTCTTGAAATGCATAAAACTACTTATATTTTGAGATAAAATAACAAACTAAAAACGACTTACGTTTTGAAAAAGAGGGAGTAACAATTTATCTATAAATAAATAAAATTCAATTGAGTCATAAGACTTGAGATATATGTACAGTGTAAGTCTGTAAGATTTATCCATTCCTCCTTCGGAGGATCCTTCACACGTTCTATTACAAAGTATCCAATAGATAAAGAAAACAAAAGGCTGTTATTTATTAATCTTATATAGCATATTAATGGATGAGTGTTGGGTTTTGGGTTTCGACTTAGCTAGAGGGAGCAAGGAAGGTCTGAGTTGGTCTGTTACGGGTTTTGATTGAAGAAATGATGGACAGGAATGGTAGACGATGGACCTTTCAGTTAAACAAATAAATGCTGTTTCATATATAAAATGTACATTTTTGACTATATATAAGAACAGAGAGATTCCTGCAATTGCAACTGCTGCTGTTGCAGAAGCAGTAGTCTCTCTCCCTGCATTTACTCTTTTGTTTCACCACTTCGGAATTTCTTTTATGTATGATTTCTTTTAAGAAAATATAATTCACTTTTCTGGTAGACAGTTGGAAAACATAATTAATGAGGAATGATTCACTTATACCAAGGATTCTTGAAAATCTCCAATCTATCTCGAGATACAAAAGGCCGAGAATTTATTTATTTGCTAAGTTAATTTGTTATTTGTTTCTCTTGTTGGATTAGATTAAGGTTTACTCTCTTTCTTCCTTTGCAACTGTGTCTAAGTTACTACCTATGTTCCATAATACTTGTTACATTTCGAATTTCATGTTCCTTTTAAAAATTATTAAATTTATCTAAATTATAATAAATTATTGAGTAAATTGACTATATTACCCTAAATTTAATACTAATACTCTAAGAAAACCATTAAATTAAAGTAATATTCTCCTTGAAATCACAAATATGACAAATATTTTGAACAAACTATTTATTCAAATGTGACAAGTATTATAAAACGGAGGTAGTAATATTTTGTTTTTTACCTGATTTCATTCTTCATTTAAGAAAATTAAATACTCCTCCATCTCATAATTTTTGTCCTACTTTCTTTTTTCATCCGTTCCAAATTATTATCCCATTTCCTTTTTTTAGAAATGAATAATAATTATACTTGATTATTTTACCCTTATTAAATATTGTTGTTTCTTAATAAATAAATAAATAATAGTCAAACTATATTATCATTATTTTTTTAAAATATACCACCATTAATTAAATTGCTATCTTGATATAGACAAAATTAAATTTCAACCTTCTAATCTTTTAACATTATTCTATTTAACCACGTTTTGGAGTGTCAGAAAGCCTCCACAACCGATACGATTCCCTTTTTTAGTCATGCACATCTCTCCATGGCTCAAAAATGTGATTTTGTGGTAAATGAGCTTCGTCCCATAGTTGTTTCTACTCATGCATTAATTAACTGCTTTGATAAATGGATAAACAATTAGTAGTTTCATTAATTTCACGACAATTTAATTGGATTATTTAATTTTAATGGCTAACTAAATACAAGGGTATATTAGGAAAAATAAAAAAATCTCTTCGTTCCACTTTAATATTAACAAATTAACATTTTACCTTGTTACACTTTAATTGCATTTTGAAAGTGTATTAATTGTTTTTTTCTCTAATTTTATGCATGTTTATTAAGTGTTTTGTAACAAAATTAATAGGAAGTTTTTATTTTTAAAAGGGCAATTTAGACATTTTACTGCTCTCTCTAATTCAAAATATAAATCGTTTTAAATTGATTATTTTGTTCCAAATATAATTCGTTTTAAATATTTTAAGGAATAATAAATTATATTTTTTCAATATTACCCTTATTTACATTAGACATAATAAAAACTTTGGGTGTAAGTCAAACTAGGACCAAAAATATGGGATGGAGGTAGTGTTACTTTTTTTCAAATTTATTCCTATATTTTTTGCATATCTATAAAGTAAGCATTGGTGATTTAGAAAATTAATAAAAGAAGAGTTAGTTAATCACAACTATGTGTTTTCGCTAAAATTGAGGTAGATAAATACTGCCTTTAACCATGAATATAAGCTATTTTAGAATAGGTTTTTTAGCTACAAATTTGAGTCCTTTTGAGAATATCAAACAATAATTAATGACGTTTTTACAATTTTACCTTATTTATATTAAATGACAATTTGCTAAAAAGGGTAAATTAGTCATATTAATGAACCTTATGCTATAATTTAGGAGAATTAATTATTTTTTTAATTATTATCAACAAGTTTAAACGACTATATTTGTGGATAAAGGGTGATAGAATGAATCATTTAGTTTTTGCAAAATCAAATATTCAATCTATATACAAATATAAATTATTTAAAGTTTGTAGGCAGTAATTAAGAAATAAAAATGTTCATTAATTAATTTTCCTACATTATAGCAAAATGTACATTAATTTGATTAAATTATCCTTTATCTCACGTCATATAATTAATTTGACTAAAAATAGTTCTAGAAAAATATAGAAATAGTTAATGTGTTTAATATAATAACGATAAAATTGAAAAAGTTCATCAATTATTCTTTAATATTCTCCAAACTACTAATATTTTTGGACAAAAAAAATTACCCTAAAAACACTTATATTTGTAGAGAAAGAGAGTAGAAAGTAATAAAATAATTATCTCATATAATAAAATAAAATAGTTATTCATTTTTAAACGAATTTGTGTAAAATAAAATAAAACAGTTCATATAACTCAATTTGTATAACTCAATTATTCTTCAAATGCAGTAAACTTACGTTCGAGTTTAGCAAACTGTTAAATAATGTGGCAAAAAATTAAGGCCTCGGCCTAAAGTTTGCAAAATGGGTCCAAAGCAATTAATACGCGCCAGGCCTGCTTTTATATATGCCTTTGAAACTTGGCCTAACCATCAAAAAATCCCCTAACTTTACGAATTGTTTTAATTATATCTCAATACAACTTTCTTCTCCTAATATCCTAAATTTTAAAAATTACTTATAATTACATCCTAATTTGAAATTGAATTCATTTTATTCAATTTTTGCGGGGACACATTCTCTCTCATATTTAGCTTAACCTAAGCAGTTAGTTAAACTGAAACACACTGTTTTATTTTTAATAAAAAAACAAATCTTCAAATCATACACCATTGTCGTCTTCGTTTGCCTCTCTCTGTCTCTCTCTCTCTCTCTCTCTACTCTATCTTCCTCTCTTTCTGTGTCTATCTCGTGTTGTTGAGCCAAAGGTCAAATCTCCTTCTTTCCATCTCAACACTTCTTTCTCATTTTGATTTATATAATATTGCTTTCCCTTTATCAAAATTTGGAAAAGGATTTTCTTTGAATTTCGCTGATGCAATTGGCCAAGCCAAATACATGAATATTCTGGTAAGTTCCCTCAATTTGTTATTTCACATTTCTGCATCTAATCTCCAAATTATAATACGCATCAAAAGATAGAAAAATCCAATCGATTGGTTGCTCAAAATGACTGCCAAATACTAATTATTTATGCAATCTCTAATATCAATGTTATCTTTTTTTTTTCAGTAAGATGTTGCAAATCATAAGATTCGTACAGTTTAGATAGATCTTGATGACCTTTTTAATGTAAATTTTTGTTCTCCTTCACTTCTATATATGATACTATTATGCTAATATAAATCCTTCGTTTGGTTTTTAACTTTAAAACCTAAACCCATAATGTACCGTTAATTAACTCTTTTGCAGTATAAGGATTTGGATGAAGTCTTAAGACGAGTTACTGAGAATACTCGTCAATATATTGGGATTTTTGCTGCTGCAATTGATGAATTGACATATTAATAACACAAAGATCTTAGAATGAGAATGAGAATGTTGATGGTTCTGATCACAGCAGAAGATGCCTGCGGGGATCAAGTGTTACTAGTGAATTTCTCGAATAACTACTCTTTTGCTTGAAATGCTGTCGAATTTGTTCTAGACAATAGCTTTTACGGATGGATTTTTTGGACATGCAACTAAATTGCTGGATTGTTTCAATTTTAAGGTTTCTAGCATTTATGTTGCTAGACCTTTTTTTACCATATGATTGCAATTGGAGTTAGAGATAATTTATAAGCATGACTATGTTTATTAAAAAAAGAAAATAAAAAGAAAAAAAAAACTAAATCTTGTGAATTTAGCATCTCTATGTTTTGAAAATTCTAGTAATTTTAAACACTATTATTCCTAATCCCATTTCTTACATGTTTGTTATGCTTGTAATTGATAAATGTTGAATGTTAAACCCTGTAGATGTTAGCAGTGATTTATCAATTAAAGTAGATTAATGGCTACAATCCAAATTGTTAATAACTTTTTAACATAATCTCTATTAATTAATACCTCTTTACCAGTTGTTGAAATTTGAACTGATTTTCTTTAAGCATACAATTTGTCATATAATATAATCTGTTGTTACTTTGATGTAGTTGATTTACTTAGTTGCTTGCTTTCTTGATTCAGTGAAGTTTATATCACAACACCTTCAAAGGGACGACCATTTACTATTAGAGAGGTTAAAACTTCAGAAACTACTTAGTTACTTGCTTGATTTGTTGAGGGCTGAGGATGCAGAAATTGGAGTTGCAAATGGAAATAAAAGAAATTTGTTATCTACACATGTTTAGTGATGCTTATACTAATATAGATGTATAATTTGAGTTCTAGGATTGTGAAACCTATTTATTTGCCTTTAATTTAGTTCAATAGCACTAGTTTAAGTTAGACCTATCATCCTAGTTATAATGGAACTCATTTTCAATTGATGAATTAGTCTTTTTATGTTAATGATAAACCTGGTTCAATTGATGATGAGCTTGTATTTTTCTAGTTTGTGATAATCAATTAAGATATGACATTTATTGTTGCATTTTGCATTAAAGCATTTTACTTTGTATTAAATCTTGAATCACCTAAATTCATCCTCAAATTAGCATCTTTCCCATATTTTCTTTCAGTAAAGCTGATAAGTTTAGAATGAATCTTGAACAAGCAAAAGTTGGATATATATACCCTGAAAAAAAAAAAGCTGCAATATGATCTATCTATCCAAAATTCTTTCCAAAATTTTCATCTATAATTCTATAATTTATCCTAACTAATACCACAAAACAAAAAGTCCCAAAATTTTCAAAAAGTGTCACTGGCTCAAAAAGAAATCACAGTGATGATTAGTCTTGGCTTGCTAAAGAAGGCTGGCTAAGTTGACTTGAAGTAAATTTTGTGTACTACTGAGTTTGTGATTCAAGAATAATTGTAGTGTTATTCCTCTTCCTAGAAGCCTTTAATTTCTGCCTGACAGCTATCTGAGTTGCAATTTTACCACTACGATACTGCACATCTGTACATCCAAGTATTTGTTTAATAAAAATAATAAATCGACAAGGTCATAAAGCAATGTTATGTAACTACTATTTTCCAACATTATGATCATTTAGCACTCATGTAAGCCTAATAACAATGCATAATTTTTAAATAAAAATAAATAATAATGCACCAATTAAATATCAAAAATAATGAAATAAAGAAATTCAAGATGCACTAATTTTCGACATTTATGCTAGCCCTTCAGCCTATTCAGAAATTTAATGTGGGTGCAATATTAATTTTATTCCAATCTTATGGTGTACACAATAAAAGGTTATTGCCAAAACCATTAAGAATTAGGTGAAAGGGGCATAATAATGAAAAAAAAAATTTTCAATTAACTATATACCAGTTTTACATGAAATAAATTTATTACCTTTGCATATATGCATCCACTTTCTGATGAGATCATTGTAGCATATCCTGATTTGACCTACACTAATTAAATAAGATATATCCAATGCACTCATAACCAAGTATAAAACTATACATCCAATTTAACGGAAAATCTTATCACAACCTATTGCAAGTCTTTTCTTAGAATCTTTTCAGATGGGTCTGCATTGCTGCCACTGTGTATTCTTCCTTGGCCTGCCAATCTTCCCCTGGAACAAGTTTAAAAGTATATTTATACAACAAAGCATAAACCCAACATAAACTCATCATAAACTGAACATTAAAGTTACATTGCAACGGTATAAAACTTACATCTTATGGCTCTCTTGGTGTAGAGGGCTGTTCTAACTTTGGACATCCTCTTTTATTATGGCCATATTCCAAACCAGTGTTGGCACTTCATTTGCACAACCTTTTTGCTAATCTTACCAGTACTAGATATTTTTAGTTCCTCATCATCTGCCCTAATCCTTGTAGTTTTTAGTCTTCCTGGTTTTTTCTTGAATTCTGGTGGCAAGATTGGAGGCTCATCAACTATAGCCCACATGTCTTCACCAATGAAGGGTGTTAGGCCATATTGGTATGTCTTCATGTAAGCCTCTTTGTGTAAGTACTCATCCAAATACGATAACAAATTATGTCTCATGTAATGTATACTTGAAATGGCATGATTGCATGGTACACCAGAAAGCTGCCATGCTCTACATGAGCACTCATTCTCCTGTAGAGACACCACAAAGGCCTTTTCACCAACTGTAACCTGAAACTTGTTCCCATCAGAAGGTTGTGACACACAAGATGAGGTTTCAAGTTTGTTTGCTTTAATCCTTTTCCTTCTTCTAGGCCCCACACCATCTTTCCATTTCAGAACCTCTTGTTTGTTGAAGTAGTTCCTTCCCATTAATGTAGTCCTAATACTTTCCAACATTATGATCACGGCTTTGTCCTAGCCATTGCAATGTAACCCTTGAATGTTTCAGCAATGTTACTTGTTACATCACATGTTTTTGGAGTGGTCTGTAAAATTACTCTACAAAACCTTGTCTTGTCCCTCTTCAAGAAGTCAGCAACCGCCTCAGCAGATAGCTCCAAAAGCTCTTCAAATTTCTTATTGAATTCTACTTCATATGTTGAACACAAACATGCCCAGTCTGCTTTCTTAAAGCCTTCTCCTTTATGCTTCTTCTTCTAGTTCGCATGAATGTGCACTACACAATTTCTATGCTTAGCATTAGGGGGCCAAATCTCTAATCGCATTCTCTAAACCCTGAAAAAAAATATACAAACCACAACAATTGTATAAGCAAGGAACCACACAACCAATGTAATGCAAATAAAATCAAAATTGTGACTAACCTTCCGTTGATCACTCACTATGGTAAGTCCAAGTCCTGTGGTTACACCTAGGTCTTCAAAGAGCAAGTTTAGAAACCATCCCCAACTACTCTGGTTCTTCCTTTCCACAACTATCCAAGCGATTGGGAACATCTGATTATTTGCATCCTTGGCTACTACACTTAGAAGCTGACCACCAAGTATGATTTCAGGAAACACCCATCCACGAACAAACATGGTCTGCGACCTTCCTTGTATCCCTTCCTCAAAGGAAAAAATCCTATGTACAATCTATGAAACACATTTGGCCCTCTTTTGCCACTCTCATCACACTTAAGCAAAAAGGTCCCCTCCCTATCAACTCTCCTAGGCTCTGAATGTAGGACCTGAGTTTGCTGTAGTGGCTCTCTAAAGATCTTGTGAGTTTGGCCATTGCTTTAGCCCTTGCCCTCTAATAGATTTGTTTGTTCACTGTAACTGCATACTTCTCATTCATGTTTTTTTATCATTTTATCAACAATGTAACTGGGATCTTTCCTTATTTGTCCTAAGAATCCCATTGCAATGAAGTCTGAGTTTGCTTGTCTATTTGTAAGTGACCTAAAACAACCTCCAGGCCAAGGTCCTATTTTTGCAATCACTTTAGTTTCTCATTTTTCTTCATTTCCTGTTAATCCATTTTGCAAACAGAATTCTCATCGACATGTTATTTTCCTTTTTATCAACACCATCCTACTGGAAATTTCAATTTTTATGTCTTGCAGAATATATAAGTATGTTGTTTCTTTTTTTTGCTTTAATATTTATAATATCCTTCGTGCTACATGCATTGAGAAGTTCAGTATCGAAATGGTCTAGTACTTGTTATTTTGGGATTCCTCAAGCAATTTCAAAGTTTATTCTAAGCTATCCCTCCCATTATCAACATAGTGTTCTTTCACTTCAACTTTTTCCTAGCTTATCACATACCCTCATTCTCTTTATCTCTCAACTTTGAATGACTCCAATGTCTCTATCTTGCAGATGCATAGTCAATGCCTTACAACAACTACTAGCTACTTCCATAGGTCTCCATTATCTATTGAGTCTTCATCTATGGTCTTGATTTAGATGTAGATCTTACCTCACCATCTCATTGTTTGCTAAGTTTTTCTATACATAACCTTCCTTTTGCCATGTAGGATTATACATTTCCTTCCATAGGAACCTGAGTAATATACAAAAATATATAGTTACCACCAAAGCACACAAACAACTTGCGAATGTAATACAAGAGTTAATCTCAGTTGATTCCTTTGTCTTTTCCTAGGTGGTGCATGTATGTTATTCTTTAGATTTGGATAATCACAATGTTCATAAATATATTTATAAAAACATAAGTAAGGCTGGAGTCATCCTAATTGCCAACTGTTTTATTTTATGCTAATTTGTTTTGTTTTCAACTAAAAAAAAAAAAAAAAAAAAAAAAAAAAAGAGAGAGAAAGGAATAATGAGTACACCTGGTAAAAATAATCCTAGTACATGAGACTAGGTTATTAACTAATTGACCGAAAAAAAAAAGAAAAAAAGAAAAACAATCCATGCACAAGAATTGCTATAGACGATATCAATTGCCTTTAAAATAAGCAAATATTTGTTAATATGTGACTTCTCTCTAAAATATATATGTAATAACCGAATGTCCTAATCTACCATTGCATTTACTAAAATAAAATGTAAAAGGAAAGCCTAATTGCTTCAAACAAATGAAAGGAAGCATCTATAGAATCCACAAATTAATATCTTGACTTCCTCTATTTCTACTATTTCCATCAATAAAAAAAATATTATTAGGATCATGTAGGTATTCAATTTTGTAGATAGGTACATAGGTCTTATAATGACTAATCTGATTTAGACTTTAAACATGTAATTGAAGGTAGATTTGGTATCATTAAGTTAAAGCATTGAGTTAAAACTAATTATTGAATTTTTTTTATTAATAACAACTTTGAAATAATAAATTGAAGCTTAACATGTCAGATTGTATGGAAAAATGGGGATGAAAATAATTATATTTTTTTTACTCAACGAAAACCATGTAAATATATGCAATGTTTTATTTATCTTCATCATTAAAAGACTACATATCAATAGAGTTCTACCATTCATTGATGTCTTCTCGAGAGAGAATTCCATCATAAATGTGTGTGGGTTGGTGTTTGAACTTTTATAAAATACCAATCATGTTTACTGTTTGGGTCATTGCTATTGATTTTAGTTGGTACTCTCCATCATACCATGTGCTTACCTTAAAATTTTACTCATGTACTGTAACATCAAAAAAATTTGAAAAAGAAAATGGATCAATATTTAATTTTTCAATTATACTTAAAATGCATTAGTCATATGTTTATTTTCAAAATTTAACTCATGTTTTACCTTTAATAAAATCTTACGAAATCAATTAAGCTCTTGTAAATTGTATTTAAATGAAACTAATAATTATCCAATAATTTATTTTTATATTACTTGTACTGTGATAAATTATTTTCTCTTTGGAAATGTGGATGGGTAGTAAAGCAAAACCAACAACAGTGTTCTATTATTATTGTTTAAAGTAAAAATATTCTAAAAAATATTCACCCTTTATAGCTTTGTTTTAAAGCAAAAAGGGACAAAACAATATATTCTAATTCGATTCCTACACACAATAATTTATTCACAAAAGCTCCTATTGACATTTAAGGGATTCTATTTTATAATTAAACTATTACCCTCTATTATCCTACACACAATAATTTATTCACAAAAGCCAAAACTTTGAAATACTATATTCCTAAATTCGTTGTTTTGTGAATGGTTATAAACTTCCAAAATAGCTAGCATTTTGAATGCTATAAACCATACAAAAGGAGTGACAAAACATGAAGGACACACCAAACACCGACAATAGAAGCCCCAAAGAACATAGACCAAAGATGATTACAAAACACAAGGTAAAAGTATGCAAATTTATATTCAAAAGAATAATAACCAAATAATCAAGCAAAAGAGTAAAGCAAATAGATTATAGAAGCCATTAAAAAGCAATAAGAGTGAAAGTTACAGAAGGTAGATACTTACCAATCTTTCTCCTCCCTAAATCTTCCCATTTTGGTGGCGGCACAATCCCAAAGGGCTCGCAATAAGCAGGGCAATCACATGAAATCGACAACAAATTGAAATGAAGAATGTATAAACGATAATGGTGCATTGCAATTTGGAAATTTGTTTGAACGACAGAGGAGAGAGTTGATTAGGGGAAGAGGATTAGGTTAATTAAAAATAGAACAGTGTGTTTTAGTTTAACTAATTGCTTGGGTTAAGCTAATTATGGAAGAGAGTGTGAGTCCCATGAAAATTGAATAAAATTGGTTCAATTTCAAATTAGGGTGTAATTATAATTTGTTTTTAAATTCAAGGTATTAGGAGATGAAAGTTGCATTTGGGGTACAATTAAAATAACCAGCAAAGTTTGGGATTTTTTTGATGGTTTAGCCTTGAAAATTTCTTATATCTCCTTGTTTGAGGAAGAATGCTCAAAATGCCCCCTAAACTTCGGCCTAAAATACAATAAACCCATATTTCACCTTTTTTTTCCAAACCAGTCACCACCTTGGACAAAAATATGCAAAATGCTTAGGTTTTACCTTTTCTTTGGGTATGCAGCACACACGGTCAACAAAAAGTTAGAAATTTAATTATATTAGTATTTAAATTACTAATGGTTCTCTAACTTGTTGAAGAGTTCAAAATAGAGTGAAAGAGCAATTCCAATCTTTTCAGTAAAGAAAGAGAAGTGATAAAATCCCTAATTCTAAAAATTGGAGCACACAGAAATCTCTCCAAAATTGAAATGCAGAAAAAATCCTTCAATTCTTAAATCTTCTAAGTTGAGGGTTTCTAAGGATTTCCATTAAAGGATTTAATTCTCGAATTAATTAACATTGATAATTTTCAGATTATATTTATAATTGCTTTAGATAAAAAAAATTAATAAAGGGGCTAACATCAAGCTTTTGAGAGACTAAATGGCTAAGATTTTATTTTATTAATGCGTGAATTTAATCATTTACGCATAGATTTAAGCCCAAGTATATTAATTAACCCATTAAGAGGGAAAGGGGATATATGGACTGGCTATATAAAAGGGGGGAGGAGGCATTAGGGTTCATGTGAAAAAGAAAAAGAAAAAGAAGAGGCAGCGTAGATTAAAAAGAAAAAAGAAAAAAGAAAAAAAAAGAAAAAAAGAAAGACAGTAGCAAAACAATGAAAAACACGCAACAAAAAGAGAGTTAATGTGAAAGAAAACTTAGCAAAAAGAAAAAAAGTGCATGAGAGGTTATTGATTTGGACCATCAACCAACAAAAATTAATTTGAAAATCTATAAAAAGTATAAATAATACCACAAACTCAGAACATAAAGATGACCCAAATATAATATGCCCAAAATCAACCTTTTGTATAATTTGCCTTTTGAACTTGCTTCAAACGAACAAAAATCCCAAGTTTTGACAAATATTTGATGCTTACATCTCTTTTAGACAATGATGCAACCATTTTTTGATGTCTAAGTCCAGTAAATCGGTTAAGCAATTATGAATTCGAACATAATTAAAGGGTGAATCTTCTGTCAATTCGATTAATTCGTACAATTTGAATAGTATGTTTAATAGAATTAAATTAAATTTTTTGAACTTAATGGAATTTTATTGAACCATTTTGGGTAAATTAATTTTAATTATTAATGGAAAAATCTAACTAACGAACAGAATTTAACCTAAATTACTAGTTAATAAAATTTAACTAAAATTTATTACTGATATCTTTTTATTATTTACGTAATAAAACGGCTATCGGTTAATTTAAGTGGTTTAAATTAACTTCAAACGAACATTTACGTGATCACCCAAAATCAGATTTTTTTTTTTTTTTTTCCTTCCAAACCATTAACTGCATATTTATTCACAAAATCAAGTTGATTGAATAAATCAATTTAACAGATTAATCTAACCGATTGCTCATCCCTACACATAATGAAACTGTAGCGTTTGCAGCTGGAAGATAAACACGGGCGGCCTACTCTGTTGACCGTCAGCTATTATTCCTATTTCTGGTCTTGCTCGCCCAACAGTTTTAACTGTCTTATCTATTAAACTATAAAACATGTTAGAGCCGTTTGACCAAATTCCCATTCTTCGCATATAATCAAAGTCTTCCGCCATTGAATGTCAACAATAAAAAGCTGTTGTAACTATACTGTTACAAAACGACAATTCTAGATTGTATATTAATTATATTAATCACAGAGTTTGAATTCAGTTTATGCTATGAACATTTTGTCAACTAATATCAATTCAGTAATTCCAATTTTCAAGTTATTTATCATCCACATTAAAAATTATATGTTCAACATAACGATAACAAACACTTAAATATATTTTATATTCCCTCCTTTTTTTTTTTTTTTGTTTGGACAAACTTTCTATTTAGGATGACCCATTCATTTAGACAATTAATAATTTTGGTAAAAAAAATCAAAATATAAAGTCCATGTTACTCTTTATATAGCTTCCTTTATTGCATTGGTATGCAAAAATATCAAAATAGTGACAGACAAGGTATGAAAAACGCATTGAATGTGGCTTCGTTTACAAAACAATGATTTTATCCATTTGTCTCTCCATTTTAATTAAAAAAATGTATCAAAATTCATTTTATGGATGCAATTTTTAGTTCCTTGCACAATTCTTATAATTTCCTTCAAACGACAAAGCACAATTGAAAATATTATGTCCATTTCAAACCTTAACGATTTTCAATTTTAACTCAAACATTTGGAAATTGAAAATTATACAATGATTATATAAGAAAAACAATAGAGATATGCCTGTAAAAAAGATTAAATCTGATTGTGTAGGTATTAAACTTCACTATAAAAATGTACAAGTTGATGCACACATTTTACTCGTCCATGTAAGTCTAGACAATACAAAATGCGGCAATTTAATATACCGTACACATATGTAGGATATATATACCTTAATCATTGTTTCTTCTTAAAATTTTTACTTATAACCCATTACTTATGATTTTGAGTCATTAATTGACTTTATTGGATGGAGAGAGCATAAAATAATTAAGTGAAGAAGAGTGTAGTTAATGCAATGTTGATGGCAAATTTTAGAAAAAATTTACCTTTCCTTAATTCTTGTACAAAGCAACTTTTGTCTAAATAAATAGAACAGAGGGATTATATTTTAAAAATTTTCAAATCATTCGTAATTTATATCAAAATATCAATATACCTTGGTATTTTTAGAATTAAATTATAATTTTTATATTATTTCATTATTTAAGAAAATAAGTGAATAATTAATTAATTATTATTAATTATAGGATAATCATTTTTAAAAAAAATTATATTAGGACGCCAAATTAGAGTATATTTTTCTAAATTTAAAATATTAAGTATCAAAGTTGACTTTGAAGATGTGACCACTAAAAATAAGAATCACCACTAAAAATAAGAATCACCACTTGAATTTCAAATCAGTAATTTAACCTCTGCCTCACTCCATGTAGATGTTTAAATTTGCCCTTCTTTAATTTATATTTGTTAGATTTGTTGAAAAATGAAAGCAAATTAAATCACGTTAAATTTGTTGCTATTCAGTTAATAAACTTGATCATAAGATTAGTTAAATAACAAAACAAAATCTACCATGAATAAGTGGGGATAGAAACGGTATACATCTAGAAATTTTGAACTATTTGTACCCTTATCCACTTAAAATTTTACTACTCATCCCATCTCAAACTAATTTATACTCGTATTTGAATCCGTTTAGACTTTTATTATCTATTTGTCCCAAACTCATTTAATTAATCAAATAGAGTGTCTACAAATTTTAAAGTATTTAAATTTAAACCTGAACTTATTTAAATATATTTTTTACTAATAATGGATAGACTACCCATGGATACTCATAACCAAATGCCTTTAATATAATGCATAACGAGTAACGAAAAATCTATACTCACACCTTACAGTATTCATCACAAATAGAAATTTAATTACTCTGCTCTTTCCGAACTCTATTTGTAACTAGTCTAACCTTATTAAATGGATCAGTGTTGGACAGATTCCCATCTCGTTTCTATTCCTATGAATACGTATTTGCGGAATGATTAAATGTTCTTCTCTATATATGTTCTATAAATTTAGGCGAATAATAAATTTTAATGAACAATGTAGATTAAAGAGAGAGAATAATACGTATATAAGACAGAAATATTAGGATCTCCCATTATAATCTTAACAATCCTAATCAAAATTTGAGCAATATTAGTAAACTTGTCTAAACCCGGTCCAAGTTACTATTCATATATACTAGGTCTAGGCAAATTAATCTTTCATTATGAATTAAATTATAAGAAATATTTGTCTATATCGACTCTAGGACTCCATTTATGGATCAAACCAATGAAAATAAACACTTTTTAAAAATTATTCTTACTTTATTCTTTTTTTTTTCCTCAGGTATGCATAGAAATACATTCGTTTTCAATAAAAAAAAAAAAAGAATTTTTATTGATTGGGTCTACAAGTGGGACTACAAACCCAGTCTAAAGCAAGGGATTAGTCTAAATATATTTTTTTTAAATGTATAATCAATAAGCCTAAATGAAATAAAATTTCTAACAACCTTTTCTTATAATTATTTGAAACTTAGTCAATAAATCAAGTGGTAAGACCTAATTGTAATTACAAGATACACTATTTTTATATGTCATGGATGCATTAAATAATTCCATACAAAAATATGACATTATCAATCAATAAAATCCTATCACTGAAGTGCAAGCTTAGATATAGGTTTCAAACTTGGCAAATTGTCTATGCTTTTCTCTATTTTGTAGGATTTTTGGAATTTTCAGTACAATCATTTGATTTTCCTCCTTCCTATTTTCTATTATAGCTTAACAATACAATGGATTTTCCTTTTTTTTTTTCTTTTAATAATATATCAGAAATACTTATAATAATGAGGTTGTAAGGGTTTGAATCTTTGACTCTTACATCTCTTACACTATTATGCAAAGCAATTATTGATGCCTAAGTTATTAGTCTAATGAATTCAAACAAACCAAGGCTTCATAATCCGCAGCCTTCTTGTTGGGCGGCTTACGCGCTTGCATTTAATAAGCCCAACGGTTTAATTTTTATCTACTATAATATTACATGTTAGAGCTGTTTGATCGGAGCATGAAAGTCCAACATTTGCATGATCAAAGTCTTCAGCCATTATATATTAGACGGTATGTTAATTATAGAGTTTGAATTTGTCTTATGGAAAATTGAGGATACTATAAAATCAAAATCACGAACTTTATGAGTAAATTTATGTATTAATCAATTTAATATTTGAGAGAATTTTAGTTTAGTTTTGTCAAATTATTAAATAATTTTAGCATAGGAAATGGAATCAACGAATAAAATTGAATTAAATAACAATAATAATAACTATGGTCGTTACATGTAAATGAAAGTTCAACTGCTTCCCAACTCAACTGTTCTTGAAAAGCTTCTTCTTGAGGAATGCTATAAATATGGGGTATGAACCATGCAGTTATCTACCCAATTAAGCATTGTGCAGAAAACAGAAAGCTTATCGCAAATGAAAATGGTTGGAACCATTTTTTCGCCTAAGGCTCCGCTTGGATTAGTCTCATGGCGGGCAAGCTCATGTCAAAGTCAGACACAGTACCGCACTACCGCTCGGTGCCAGTTGTCAGTTATACCGCAGTACCCAGCACCAGAGCTTCTTCTGGTATAATACACTTATCCTGCATTGTTTGGATTCAGAATTTTCAAATTAAAATTTATGCATTTAAAAACTTCCACGCTATATTTTAATCTCTCTTCGTTTGATGTAATCTTTTTTAAAATGTTGTTTGATATAAAGTGTAATCATCGTCGGTGTTGTACCTTTCTTTTCAGGCTAATCGCTGCCCCAAAAGCTTGGAGGAATTGCAGGAAGCGACCCGAAAGGAATTGCTAACGACAGGTAATCCAACGGCTTCAATGAAGTTGATCGATTCAATTCAACGACTAGGAATTGGGTATCATTTCGAAGAAGAAATAAGTATGTTGCTTGAAAGAATCTTAGAATGGAATATTAACGGACATGATCTCCTTACCTCTGCGCTTCGCTTTCGATTGCTTAGGCATAATGGACTTCCAGTTTACTCAGGTATGGTTGTTCCTTCCAAAATTGTAAGTAAGAAGTGAAAAGTAATTTACCATAATTGAAATGCTCATTTTGAAGTTAATTTGTTCAACAGATGTTTTTAGAAAATTCATGAACAAGAATGGGAAATTCAAGGAGTCATTAAGCAAAGACACAATGGGTTTGTTGAGTTTACACGAGGCATCTTACTTGGGCTCAAAAGATGAAGCTGAATTAGTGCACGCCATGGAATTTACAAGAAACTACTTGCAGGGATATATAGCACAGAATAAGAAAATTGGCCAAGCGTTGGAGCTTCCAAGGCACTTGAGAATGACAAGGTTGGAAGCTAGAAACTATATTGACGAATATAGCTTGCAAACCAACCACAGCCAAACTCTATTTCAATTGGCTAAGTTAGATTATAATGCTGTTCAATCACTACACCAGAAAGAGTTGGTTGAGATAGTCAGGTGATTGTCTTAATCAAATGATTTAGAAATGCTTTTCAAATCTAAAGCTAACTTAATTTTATTGTTCTGTTAATTTAGGTGGTGGAAAGAGTTGGGTCTAGTAGAAAAACTTGGGTTTGCCAGAGATCGACCATTGGAGTGCTACCTGTGGACTGTAGGGATATTTCCTCAGCCATATGATTCTAATAGCCGTATCCAATTAACAAAGACCGTAGCCATCTTACTAGTTATTGATGACATTTTCGATACTTACGGTTCATTTTCTGATCTGATTCTCTTTACAGATGCAGTTAGAAGGTTTGTACTTTCTGGTAGTTATGTGAAATTCATTTTTTTTATAGTTTATCTTAAACTAAATATGGGATTGCTGGCCATGCAGGTGGGATCTTAGCGCAATAGAATCACTTCCTGAATATATGAAGATCTGTTACATGGCATTGTACAATACTACCAATGATATTGCATATATGGTTCTTAAACAAAATGGATGGAGCATTGTCCCACACCTAAAGAGAACGGTAATGTTTTAAAGATAATGACTAGTCTAGACACGAGCTCACTAAAATGGGAATGATTTAAAAAATATCTATTTTCATTAGTACGGGCTATGGGTGAGCCCGCAAACAGAGTCTAGGCAAACTTTATCCCTTTTTTTTTTTCAATTCACAATTCGATACTATAGAGAACATGTACATGTTCTATTCTTGTATTCAACTGCCCAATTAATGGATTTTTTTTTTTTATCACAACAGTGGATAGACATGTTTGAAGCTTTCCTTACTGAAGCCAAATGGTTCAAAAATGGCTATGTACCTACCTTAGAGGAATATCTAGTTAACGGGGTAACAACAGGAGGCACCTACATGGCACTGGTTCATTCCTTTTTCCTCCTGGGGCAAGGTGTTACAAAAGAGACTATAACAATGTTGGAACCCTATCCTGACCTATTCACTTCCGCTGGGAAAATCCTTCGGCTTTGGGATGATTTGGGAACATCAAGGGTATGTCATTTGGATAGCAAAAATACAATTATTATCATCACTTTAAATGCTTCAAAACAGGCATAAATCACATGTTAATGAAATGATTTTATTTTATAAATTGAAAATATTAAATTATTGACAGGAAGAGCAAGAAAGAGGAGATGTTGCATCTAGCATAGAATGTTTTATGAAAGAGAAGGCAATTTCATGTGAGGGCGAAGGAAGGAAAGAAGTCAGGCAACTCATTCGCAACTTATGGGTAGAACTCAATGGTGAGTTGATAGCTCCAAGTAGAATGCCTCTTTCAACTATTAATGCTTCATTTAATCTAGCAAGAACTGCCCAAATTGTCTATCAACATGGAGATGATATGAAGGGGTTAAGTGTTGATGATCAAGTGCAAGCATTGCTTTATCAGCCAATCTGATTGGATGATCTAGCAAGATATATTGTTAATAATGATTTAAACTGTAAATTACTTATTGGGGTTCATAGTTTATCAATTTCATGAAATTTTCTTAATTTATTTTTATTCATTGGTCTATGTATGTTCAAGAATTTCTTTTCACACATGTAATAAAAGTTTTAAATGTTCAGTGAAAAATTCGGTATTGCAACTCAATAATAGAAAATAAATTATCTTGAAAATATTTTCTAACAAAAATATATATTTCCAAATACTAAGAGATGAATCTCATATTTAATAATAATAATAAATAAAGTAACTCAAAGACTTATAATGCAACGAATGGTGGGCATAGTATAACTCAATTGGTTTTGTTCAAGATAGGTTCCAACACTTATTCAATTTTAAGCCCATGGTATGTGGGCCTATAGACTTAAATATTATGTCAGAGTTTTATGCCCAAATAGAATCTTCTTGAGGCCCATGTGCAAGTCCTCACAAAATCAAAATCGATGGAGACATGCCATTGGTCTATGTTGATGTGGGGCCCACCTAAGATGGCTATTGGGAGGTAAATCCCATATCATTATATCATTATATATATATTACCTCCATTCCATAATATGTCACAATTTGAAAAAATATATATGATTAATAATTATTACTTTAATTTAATAGTTTTTTTAGAGAATTAGTATTAAATTAAGAGTAATATGGTCATTTTACTCAATAATTTATAATAATTTAGGCAAGTTTAATGGTTTTCTTGAGAAATATGAAATTTCAAATGTGACAAGTATTATGAAACAAAAGTAATATAAAGGAAAATCATGGTGATTTTCCTCAATGTTGATGTTGCATGTTCACCAAAGAGTTGTGCAATATTTGAGTACTCCCTCCGATTCATTTATATAGACACAACTAACTTTGCACAGAAATTAAGGAATTAATTTAACTATAATCTTTAGTCAATCTTTCTTATTTTGCCCCCAACATTGCATTAATTGACTGTTTGCTTTAAAAGTCCAACATGTCATGCCACTTTATTCCATAACCACGATTAATGACTTATAACCATAATAAAAGGATAAATCATAGTAAAAACCCATTGATTCCTCCTAATTAACCCCAAGTTTTACCTCCTAATCAAAATTTTTAATTTGACCATTCCTTTTTAGTGCAAAAATATTGGTGGAAAATGAAATTTTAATTTTCATTTAAAAATATGGACACTTAATAAAGAAATTATGTTCAAATAATCTTTTTGGAGCCAAAAATTTTAATAACATCAATTGTCTTTTCAAATTCTTCCCAAATACTCACTCATAAATAACTTCAATTCATTAGCTAATAATCACTCACACAAACTACAGCAAAAAATCATAATGTCAACTTTCTACAACCATGTCATATCCATTTGATTTGAATATGCAACCTCTTGATTCGCCCACAACTTTAGAAAATGTGCTCACTCCGACTGTTGGTCCCTTGGACTTGATCGATTTAAATGCAGAAGAAAATATACAATCACCGAACCATTATGAAGAGCTTGAATTCACACAATGCCCTTCTAGCGTGGTTGCTGGTACAAAGAAGGAAGCAAAGAAAAAGAACGTGACAAACGAAACAAAAAATTTGGTGAAAAATATGCTTCTTTTTGAAATGCTAAGAGTGTTAAATTCGCGCTCTATCGAGAAAGTTATGCACACATTTTCTCTTTCAAAGAGGTCAGTTTACGAAATTTGGCATATTGCAAAGAATGGTGCACTAGCTGCAAATGAGATCAATGGTGCTTAGAACAGAGGTAAGAAGCATGTTGTAATTCCAACGGACAGAATTCAAGAAATACTGCTCAGACATCGGATGAACCAACAGTGACTAGTATATGAACTCGGCGTATCTTTAACAACTAAACATAGAATTTTAAAAAGAGGGGATATTAAGCCACATTCAAATGTAATCAAACCACTATTGAAGGAAGAGAATAAAAAAACAAGAGTTGAATTTTGCTTGTCCATGATTGATACAGACACAATTACTAGCAATCCATCTTTTATCAACATGCATGACATAATCCACATAAATGAGAAGTGGTTTTTCATGTGCAATGAAACTCAAAAATTTTACCTTTTGCCTAATGAGACACTACGTACACGCACATGTAAGAGCAAGAGATTCATTCCAAAGATTATGTTCCTTGTTGTAGTTTCACACCCTAGATTTGATTCTAATTCTCATATTCAATTTGATGGCAAGATAGGAATTTTGGCCATTCATATACACTGCTCCTACTAAAAGAAATAGCAAGAATCGTATAGTGGGCACAATGGAGATCAGACCTATTATGTCAATCACGAAGTTACTCGTAATTGCCTTATCAAAAACTTACTGCCTTCCATAAAAAAAGGCCAACAAATACTTCTAATATAGTATTTGTTCAATAGGATAATACTAGGCCACATATAATTGATGGAGATGCTGAGTTTGCAAATGTTGTAATTGAACTTAGTCTAAATATACGTTTGATAAGCCAAGCTCCTAATAGTCCAGAATTGAATGTCTTCGACCTCGATTTTTTTAGAGTCATTAATTCAATAAAAACATCAAGAGGCTCCTAACAACATAGATGAATTGGTTTCAGCAGTTATTAAAGCATTTGATGTTTTTCCTCCAAGTGGCATAAACAAAGTGTTTTTGACTTTGCAGACATGTATGGTTGAAGTATTGAAATGTTCTGGAGGGAACAATTACAAAATTCCCCACATGTCGAAGCTTATTTTGATAAGAAATGGTACTTTGCCTAATGTAATTGAAGTTCATGGAGACATTGTGAAGGAAGTAGCAACAACAGTGCAACATCATATTGTGAACATACTTGCCATGTGAGAGTAGTTTCATATGCATTCAAGGATAAATGACATTTAGCAGTTAAAAAAATGTGGTCCTTTTGTTTAAAAAGTGAACTAGTTGCCTTTGTAAAAAGTTGCTTCAAATCATCTTCTGGATAATATAAATTTGTGATCAAATATTGGAAATATGGGTGTTTTTACGTCAAGTATTGCACATATATTATACATGGGTTGTGAAGTATTGAAAATGTTTCTGGGAGGGAACGAATTACAAAATTCCGCACGATGTCGAGGAGCTTACGTTTGATAAGAAATGGTACTTTGCCTAGAGTGTAATTGGAACATTCAATGGGAGACATTGGTGGACAGGAAGTTAGAAATGCAAGACATCATAGTTGTGAACGATACTTGCCATGTGGAGGAGTAGGTTTCAATATGCATTCAAGGGGACTAAAGAGTGCACATTTAAGGCAAGTTAAACAAAATGTGGTCCTTTTGTTTAAAAAGGTGAAGGCTAGTTGCCCCTTTGTAAAAAGTAGTGTTCAAAATCAATCTTCTGGATAATTAAATTTGTGATCAAATATTGGAAAATATGGGTGTTTTTTACGTCAGAGTAGTTGGCACGATATATTATTATTACATCATTTCTTCTCTCTAACTAGTCTGATATATATATAATATAAGCAGTAGTCTTTGTTAAGTAACATGTGTGCAAATTAAGACATCAAAAAATACACCACTAAAAACCAAATGGTGGGCAATACAAAAGCTGACGCTATGTGATATTAACAGAAATGGTGTCCACTTCTAAAATTCATTGTTCAAAAAATACACCATAAAATAAAATGTGGGCAATACAAAAGCTGAACGCTAATTATATTACAAAATGTGTCCACTCTAAATTCATTGTTCACATAAAAAAATTACATTGAAAACAACAAACACTTGACTGGAACAAAATAAAACCAATGCATAAAAACATGTGAACACACAAAATAAACATAACCATGGACACTTTAACATTAGTTCAAACTAATAACGAAAAACAATACTTCAGCATGACCACTTATTTATCTCTTGCACTCAGATCTTCCAGTTTTCTTTAACAATCTCACTTGAATTTAGTAGTTCATCAACAGAATCCATTAAGAAGTTGTGCAACATAGAATCTTGACTGTCAGGTTGTGTCTCATCTTCATCTACTGTTGCTGTAGTTTTAGGATCCTTTCCTTTTTTATTTTCTTCCTCATGGAGTTCATCTTCATCATTATTCCCTTATTTGTCCCCCTCTGCTCCAGTATGAGCACCAGTTCCATTCTTCCTCACATTGATGAGTGCCAGGCACTTCAATCATATTAGCATTTGATTGTACACATTCCTTCAGCTCTATCACCTCTGTATTAATTTCTTCAATTTGTGCCATGGTTTCATCAACCTTTACATCCAATTTCTATACTAATTCAAAAACTACATCCATTTTCTTCATAAATTCAGAGGATAATTATTTATTGACAATAGCCCTTGTAGCCCTTTTTGGAAGGTTGACCAGCTATTTCAAAGTCCTATTCTCATCTCTATTGCCCCACTCTATAGCATCATCCTCCTCAACATACTTTAGCAAAATCCACCCCTTATCTCTAGTCTTGACAATATTATAAGAGTTCAGATACCTTCCATTAATTTTTTCAATTGCCCTTATATTATCTGCATGCTCGCCACTAACACTCCAACAAACATAATGCAATTTGAAATCAGCTATGCATAAGGCAAATGAATGCAATTCTTCCTCGCTTTATACTTTTCTACACTCATAATCTTGTGATTGTGTGCAATATTCTTTAGAATTATGCCTGCTAAACTAATTGAAACTTGCTTAATCATATCCCATGAAATTAATTTTTCATCTTCAGTAACATTATCTTTGCTACCATATTTGGGCAAAATATTTGCACAAACAATCAAATGAAGCAATCTAGGAATGCCTTCATCCTAGTACCCACAAGCTCCTCATTGGCATAATTTTGTGCCAAGAACCTCTTTTCAAATTCAGAAACATCATAACCTTCATGATATTCAATATCCCCAATAACAGAATCAAAACCACTAGAATAAATTTGACCAACACGTTGGAAAACACTCTCATTAATCTTAACCTCAATACCTTTAACAATTGAGACCACATTAGTCTTTTTCCTGTCACCCCTTTTTGTTTCTTGTACA